CGTATAAATAACTGCGGATAAACATAATCAAATAGAGGATGAACATCTCATTTTAAAATATAAAAAATCTAAAATATAATTAGAATAATTATTGACTTTCAACAAAATAAATAATTATTATCTTTATAAAAAATTATATTATTAAACCAAATATAAATTAAATTATAAAAAAATTGAATTAAAAAATTACACAAAAAATGAGGAATTTCAAATAGTTAATTGATACCAATATCGATATATTTTTGTCAAATTTTTATGATATTTTCAAACATATATTTTATTCAAAAATAAAAACATCATCACTTTCTCAAAATCATATAAAGTCATATTATAACATCGAATGAGATAAAGAATAAAATGAAATATTAAAATCACGATGTATCTCGCTGCATTGCATGAATACGCTTCTAATATTAAAAATATATAATAAATCTTATGTAAATAATAATTTATGATAATGGTTATTTACTTATATAAAAAACAAAGAGTACCGTGTCATAATGATTAATAATAACAGTTATTTACGTATACTATATTCAATTATCATAAATAATTCATTTATTGTATATTGATTATGATAAGGGTTTTTTACAAGTAAACTAAAATATATTTTATTCACTTGATTAATTAACATCTTCATTTTATTTATTTTTATTTATTATAATCAATTTATTATTATGTAAATAAAAATAAAAATATTATTATATTGAGTATCACGTAAATATTTTTTTATAAATTGATTGTAATTTCATTTATATAATGAGTTTTTAAATATATATATATATATATGTGTGTGTGTGTGTGTGTCATTAATAACGAAATATAAATATGATATACAAAAGGAACTAAGAATAATAACATCAAATATCATTTCTTCTCTTGCCAAGGTCTTTGTTTAGATTTTCCACATGCACCCGAGAGATCACTATACATTAATATATGAGGGCAATAAAATCATAAATAATTATAGCTACAATCCGTTAGTAGGATAACTCTACAATCGTAATAAAATGCTCAATTTATCATAATTCTACAACTTCAATAATCAAATTGTAACTTCATAATAGAAAGCATTCCATAACTTAAATAATTAATCCAACGTTGGATAAAAAGAGTAGACATAAAATTCCACAGAGAGTGATATCTATTGTTGAAATCTCTCATTCTATACTCAATGTTAAATGAAAAAAATATAACATTGTGACATTTACTTGCATACCCTTTTATATACATGTCAACAACTTTATTCAATCACATGGAAGAATACACGACAAAAAGATTACATGAATCTGATGGCCCACTTTCCTTGGGGAAGATTATGGTTGCATACATGTTCAGGATGTTAGTGATTGAAGGTATTCGTCTTCCTGATTGGGAATTCTTTGATATGCCTACTTTTCAATGGACTTCTTCGATGTATTTTCCTCAAGTGTCTCTTGCTTCCTTTTTATTCATACCAATTAAATTTTCAAGGGTGGGAATTAAAGAGGATTTAAAGGAAGAAGCAAATGAATAGTCATAGGTTAAATTCATGAATGAAAAATTACAAAAAAAAGAGAAAAAAGAAAACCAGTCTAATAATGAAACACACATATTTTATTTAGGGGTGGAGAAGTCATTTACATATTAAACATTTTAGAAAATTTTGAGAAAATTCATGGCCACAATTCGTACTACACCATTGGGCCACATCATTGGATGTTGTTCCTTATTATAATCAATTTATCATTATACACACATATAACACACTCAAGCATAAAAATTATTTAAGGATTTTGACAGAAGAAGAACAATTATGATACCAATGTAAATATTAATTAGAAAGTATAAGGGACTGTTTGGCAGTTGCTGAATGGTTTGGTGCATAGTAGTTAAGTGGTCAAAATGGTTAAGAAAGTCAGAATGGTTAAGTGTTGAATGAAACAAGGTTGTTTGGTAGTTGTTCTCTAAATGATAACAAATTATCATTTTAACCCTCTGTGTGATTTAGCGAATGAAATATAGTTGTTTGACAGATATCTGAATAAAATAATTACTTTACAAATATAACTGCGAATTTCATATTAATCCAATTAAACATAGAATACTAGTTCAAAACAAGATTTTTCATATTAATCCAAACCAACATAACATTATTATTTTCATAAGCAATTACCAACCATATTTGTCCTGTATGTCTTTCAATTGTTTTTGTGGGTCAAAATCCCTTGGAATAGCCAGTTCTTCCCCCTTGCAGCCTCCCATCTCTGTCTTTATCCCTCTCTCATCGTCGACGACTGGCAAATGCTGTGTGATCATTTCCTATTGGACCTTGAAATCAATCCATGGCGGAACTGCTGATCAATCTCTGATTCCTTCTTCTCACTTCGATCCATCTCCAGTTTCGTAGATCTGAAAAGCTTTTCATTTACTATTTATGGAAATGGTTGCAATATCTTCAAGCCCGCGCACGGTCGAAGAGATCTTCAAGGATTACAGCGCTCGTCGCAACAGCAAGGAGGCGAGATCGAAAAACTTACCAGCAATAAGGATAGAACACAGCAGCAAGGGGGCTGTGGAAGGCGGCCGGACGACACAGCAGCAAGTCGTGGGAGGCAAGATCGAGTGGAAGGAGGAACGAGTCATGGGAGGCGAGATCGATGGAAGGAGGAAAGAGGAACGATCGTGGCTGGAAAAGGTTGAGAGGGCAAAAAAGGAAGAAGATACATCTGAACCATTTAGGAGCCCCCTAACCCCTAAATCGTTAAGAGGATTTTGTCATCATTAAAAGGTTCTTATTTTTTTGCCAAACAGCTTATACCTTTTACCGATTAAGAGGTTTCCTCTTAATGTCACCATTAAGAGGCAACCAAACAGCCCCTAAGAGAGGAAAAAGAAAGGTAACAATCGTAAATAATATTCGAATAAAAAACTAAATACCTATTAACAACACTATATAATACACATAAAAAATAAAAAGTTGTATGTAAACTCTTTATGAAGAAAAAACAATGGTACTGATTGGAAAGAAACACACATATACATATATCAACAACATATAACTCACAAAAAAGTATAAAATTAAACATAAATGTTACCTATAAGATTTATGTAGGATGAACAATGATAAAGGCCGGAAAAAGTTCTACAAAGGAAAAACAACAAAATACTTACAAACTTAATAAAAACATGTTAGTTATTAATTCCATTTTGATGGAACATTTGGTTGTAACTTATAAATGATTTAGTGAAGGAATGATGAAAAACAATTTGAACATAAAACAAATGGAAACTAAAAGGTTTGACACATTTATGATGATGTTACCTTGAAAATTTATGTAGGATGAACAACGGTACTGATAGACTGGAAAGAAATTCTACAAAAGAGAAACAACAAAACACATACAAACTCTATAAAACATGAAAGTTGTTGATTCCATATTGATGAGGCATTCCATTTAAGATGAAAGACATAAAGAATTTAAACATAAAAGAAATGGAAATAAAAGGTTTTACAATATCATGATGATGTTACCTAGAAAATTTATGTAGGATGAACAACGATATAGATAGGTCGGAAAGAAATTCTACAAAAGTGAAACGACATAACACATACAAACTCGATAAAACATGAAGGTTGTTGATTCCATTTTGATGGGAAATTCGATTTTATATATGGAGAGAACCATAAGCTCAAGAAAAACGAAACGATTGGGAGATGGTGAGGAGTTAGGAAAACGAAGGGAATGACGTTAAATGCAAACATAAATTAATAATTAATTTTTAAAGAGAAGTCAAGTCAGCAACCTTAATTATTTAATATATATATATATATATATATATATTTTTTTTTTTTAATTTTTACTTTCTTTATCAAAATTATCGTATTATTTTGGTTTTATGACATAATTGGATCATCTTGCTACGGAAACTAAAACACGTCTCCGCCAAGCGATCACCTTGCCGCATCACCTTGGCTCTGGACCCCACTCATCTTCATCATAAGATACAAAAACCACATCCCAACTGGTCCTCCTCCACGATCCACCACCAAGAGAACTCTTCAACAACCGTCCTATTATCGAAATTTGATTAGGGTTTGAACCAGGGGACAAGGGTATGTTGACTAGTGGAGGAGGAGGAGGAACCTTTTACTGGGTTCGAAATGAGGAGACACCATCTTCAACCAGAGTCGAAGGAATCGTTGTAATTTTCGCTTGGGGTTCTTCTCTTGAAGAGTACCACTTGAAGAATTATGTGAATCTTTATTCGTCTCTCGGTTGGAATTCTCTTCTTGTTCTTTCCGATTTTCTGAACCCGTAAGTTCAGCTCTACTCAATTAGGAGTTTTATCTATAGGGTTTTAAGTATTTAAACCATGGAAAAGTTTCTGAACTTGTTCTTTTGACTATTGGATTGTGGGTGCTTGCTAAAAGTTTAGTATCTTGTATGATAATATGTGTTTTAAAAGTGTAGGTTTTCTCATCGGGACAATCATATATTCGGGAATGTTAAAGGTATAAAGCATACATGCCAGATAGATTCAAAGGATCCCTGTAATTCATCGCTTTTTAAGGCGAATTTTGATGAATTTCTCTTTAGATTTTAATAGAAAATAAGAGAATTAAATCCACATCAATAAGGGTTTGATCATTCGTCGATTTTAAGGATACGAGCATCATATGGGATTGTTATTTTCTACAAATACTGGGAATTTGAAAATCGATTAAAAGATTTGCTAGTCTTTTGCCTTCCTTTCATCTGGGGTTACAATGAACTCATAGTAATTGTGGATGATCTTGTTGCAAGATCTGTCTTTTAGGTGCTTCGAAAAAGCAAAGCAATCTTGGCGGTTTCTTTTTATTATACATCACATTCACATGATTGGAATTCGAAATTTGCAAATTTCTTGGAGAAGAGGAAATTGACATTCTGTTATACTCTTTTTATCAATATAAGGCAGACGATTGTCTTTACATGTGATGTAAAGACTCCGATAGCAGACTGTTTCTTTTGTGCTTTAACTTTTTCATACCCCTTACATCCACATATTAAAGTTATAACCATATTGATGTTGATTGTGCAAGGTGTTTTGCAAATATCCCTTAGGTCTTGTTGCATTTTTCTGTTGTTTGTAACGCGCCAGTCAGTTGTTTCTTGGTTTGTTGAGAGCAAGAATAAACGGGCTCCTGGTGCCCACTTGTATGTGCTCATCATCTCAGCTAGCGAACCCCATCAACAAAATATAATGATGCAACTATCTAGTTACTCTGAGATCCTTTTGGTCGGAAAGATTGTTATAATGCCATTATCTCTTCTAGATGTGGTTTTTGACTGAAACAACATGTTCCGCTATCTCCTAATCTACTGGCCACCTTTTAATTTAAGTTCTTGAGGGTCAGCTCAAGCTAGGCCTTGGGCATGCTATCTAGGTCGTTAGTTCAAGTCTCCTCAGATCAACTGTGGATTTTCTTGTCTGTTATCTTCATAGAATTAGTTGAGGTGTGTGCAAGCTGGCCTGGACACCCACAGTTACCAAAAAAGGTGTTGTGGATAAAGGCAGTTTTTCTGAGGCCATGGTTGGGCACAACTGGGACAAGACATGTGAACATGTTAAAAGGATTATATAATATGCATCTTGTACTGTTCACGAGTGCGGAACTGTGGATTGATTAAAGCTTGCCACACACATATCTTTTTTTGTCAGTTATAAGGAACTTTTGGCTTGACGATGTTAAACCACAATATGGCAAGCACTTCAGGAAGGGTCATAATTAGAAGCCAAATGGAAGGGAGGCTGTGTTTGATGCCGATGCCAATTATCGCCTTGATTGTTTGGCTCCTAATGAGACAATAAATATTCATTTACTTATTCATTCAGATGTCTTTTGTTTAAAAAAAATGGTTGTTTTCTCTATCTGAATGGGCCTTAGTGGTTCAACTTGCCTATTAAGGGTTCATACATATATGGATGTCTGAACCATCAAGTGCAAATCTGGTTTTATTTTTAACTCAAACATCATTTCCTACCTGACCTATATTTTCTTTGAGTTGTTTTTCATTTGGCACCAATGCTATATAGAGCTTCTAAACCACCTAAATATCTTAATTGCGAACACTTATTCCTTCATTTTTATCAAACCACCACTAAAACGAACATTGTTGAGGTTAAGTAAATTGATATTTGGATGTGGTATGGGGAATGTTTGAGCGGTGAAGTTAGATATAATTGTTGGGGGAGGACCCAAAACGAACATTTTTCTGTTGTTTATGGATATTCATGATTCGCCAAAACAATACTTGAGATCTAATTGTGTTGTCTGGTATTTGTAGTTTACTTCTCTAAATCTGTGATACAACTGATATGTGCAGATTTCTTCCCGATAGAGCCACATCACTTGCATTTTCTGTTCTCAATGAGCTTTTAGAGGTCAGTTACTCTTTGTTTATCTATTTTCTGCCATGCCAAACATCACTTTTGCCAAGTCTGTGTCCATAAAATCACTAAGCTAGAAAATGGGTGCAAATCTAAGGGGTAGTTTACCAAACGCTTATCGGGTAAGCGTATACCGGCAAGAGACATCATCATCACTTACTTTATCGTATAGTGTTCTTGGACATCAAAATGGAATGTTGGTAGCGTCTTAAACCCGGTAAGTGCATACGGGTAAGAGTCTTTTCCCTCACTTACCGGGTAAGATTCTCGGTCTTTTTGTGCTTAATCTGTAAGGTAAGTGATATTGGTAGGCACTCACCCGTTTAACATTTAGTAAACAGACCCTAAGAGTTGCTACTAAACACACTTTCTGTGTTTCTACACTTTTAGCTGTGGGTCTTCATGGAAACAACTGCCTTACTCTTTGGGATAGAGGTGAGGTCTGCTTACATCTTACTGTCCCTAGACCCCACCTCAAGTGGGATATACTGGTTTTTGTTGGTTTAGTTTACACTTTCTGTGTTTTTTAATTCGGACATATTTGTACAAATGGAGTTGACCAATCACATTGACATGTCTTCCACTTTGTAGTGAAAGCTGCAGTGTAAGCCATTGATGGCTTTTAACTACTAAGTTGCTTTATCTTTTTTCCTGAAACAGTTGAATAATGTCTCCCATGAGACTTGAACCCACAATCATTTGGTTGAGGAGAATGAAAGGATCCATGAATATGAATGGAACCAGGCACTTGCTCTATTATTTCCCATTAAAATATTAACGATATATATACCTCTTTATGGGTGCAGGAGTTGAGGACTAGACCATCCCCTTTAGTCCTTGCTTCCCTTTCTGGCGGGTCACAGGCTTGTATGTATAAGGTTTTTCAGGTAAATATGGTTCACTCTCAAACAAAGCTTATATGGACCTACAGAAAGGCCAAATGAGAACCATAAATATTTTGAGAACCTAGGAACCAACAATTTCATGTATTATTCATGATGAATAACGTCAATAATCATGAATATCATGCATTGACACCATGAATCTCATGTATTTTCATTATGACTAATTTTCATCATGAATACCTATCATGACATTCATCAAGAATAAAGCATGAATAGTTGGTTTTCATGTTCTCAAAATACTTACGGAGTTACGGTTCTCTTTGAACCTGCTTCTATGGACCTATTGGTTAAGATTCTTCATATCACTTAAGATTCTTAAGATTCTTGATATCACTCTCCAGAAAATCACAAGAGTAATCATTCTATGTATGATGCAGATCATTGAAGGAACATGTGAAGCACATCTCAGTCTGGTATGTGAGTTGGGTTGTTGCGAATTGTTATTCAACAAATGTTGTGTCTGATTGTTTTTTTTTAAATTATGGCATTTGTCCTCCAGTTGGTGGTTGATGCCTCTTTCGTTTTCTTGATATATTTAGTTCTTTTTGTGAAGGATGATAGTCGATTGATCATGACCTGCATCTCTGGTCAAATGTACGACTCTGGTCCGGTAAATGTTACTGGCGATTTGGGTGCTCGGTTTGCTCTACATTCCTCCGTTCTCAACCTGCCCGGTTCATCAAAGTTGGTGTCATTGGTTGCAAAAGGTGTCACGTCTGGTTTGGATGCTCTCTTCCTTACTAGATTTGCATCCCAACGCTCCGAGTATTGGCAAACGCTTTACTCCTCTGTTGTAAGTTTCCTAATACTAGTATATTTTAAACAGTTCTATTCCATTTGAGTTATCTATTTGTATGTTATTTGCTTACTTGTCCAGTTTTTCAAAACTTTATCATGTTTGTCTCTCTCTTCTTCCCATTTTTCACAATCCGGGGGTTTTCATGGAAACAACCGCTCTGGTCTTTTGGGTAGAGGTCAAGTCTACATACATCTTACCCTCCTTGGACCCTGTCTCCAGGTGGGGTATACTGGGTTTTTTTGGTATTTCATTTGAGTTATGCTGACACAAGTTTTCATCCTGTCTTTTCATCTAGGGTTTGGGGGCCCCATTTCTCATATTATGTTCGGAAAATGATGATCTTGCTCCATATCCGGTTATATGCTCATTTGCTCGACAAGTACAAGGATTAGGAGGACATGTTCGACTTATCGGATGGAAGGACTCTCCGCATGTAGGTTAGTTTCGAACTCATGATTCATTTCTCGTCCTACCGTCTAAAATGATACCCATGATTTGGTAAGCAAGACAAGACACTATAAAACAAAAACTTGTTAACCCATGTTTGGCACGACACTAGACTGGGACAAGATAGGACCTGAGTGGGATAAAAATGCATATTTTTATCTCCCCCCAAAATAGATGGAACAAAAATCGGGGGGATGGGACAAGATTGGTAAATTATTAAGCCACCCATGTCAAATTAGAACCTTTGACGATTCTTTCACCCACCTACCTTACCCTCCCCCATCTAGTCCTGTCTGTCCAGCGTCATTCGCATACGAATCGCACCCTTACAATATGTAGAATCTCATTAGATTAGTCTCCAAAAGAGCCGCTGAGGAGAGAAGGGAGGTTTCAACATAATTTGAAGTAGTAAGGTCCGAGTCTTTAAGATAACAAGATACTTGTTTGTGTTGTGATTTTTTTATAGGTCACTACAAGCACAATCCCATCCAGTACAGAGCAGCTGTGACGGAGTTTCTTGAGCACTCTACTTCGATATTTAACCAAAAACTAGAAAAAGTTGGTGAAAGATGTGGCATGGAGGGTATGCACGATAAGATATACGAACTAATTTGCGACCTCCAGAATGCAGCAGTGGACTCAAACCAGAGCCTTAGAAGAGTAGCGGTTGGACCAAACGACCACTTCTTCCTGCCAAGTTCTGAAACTGGTAAAGAATCTGGATCCTTACAAGACGAGCAGAAAGAAAGAAGAGGTGTCCATTTGGCAAGTCCTCCTCCTCCTCCGAGACTTAACCCTCACAGCGTTCTTGGTCAAGTCCTGTTTGATGTGTGTGTGCCCAAGAACATTGAAGGTTGGGATATTAAGTTCGATAAGAGGCAGCCATTTGCATCTGCTCGTAAACGATCATCTCTAAATGCATTAAAGCGCATGCGACGCTCAAAATTATAAGGTATATGATGATGACAATGTACATATGAATGATAGAGAGAGAGAATGGATGAGGTGGTTGTGGGTTGTGTTAAAATGGAAGATTTTGAAATGTACAGGTAGGAAGGAGGAATGTAGTACCAGTCTATATATATATGATGTATGGAGTGTTTTGTGTTTTGTAAGGCATGACCTTTTGGAGTTGATAATAATGTAGCAGAAGCAGAAGATGCTTGTGTTGTTAGATTGAGTCATATTTGTGTGTGTTTTATTGGGTCATTAAATGGATCATTTACCAAACGCTTACCAAGTAAGTGTTTATTGGGTCGTGGGTGAAGTCTACGGTTGCGATCTATCATGGGATTAGTCTGGATGAAGCTTGGGACGCGGAGGGTCTTATTTGATAAGTGGGGAAGGAACTCTTATTTGGTTAACACTTGCTAACAATCGATTTTTGATGGTCAAGAATGTTACTTAATAACGCAAGGGTGATGATTATTGCTAGTGAACGCTTACCTGAAACATGTATGGTGAACAATTATCAAACAATTATATTTCATTTTACATTATATCATGAGAGTTTTTAATCATTCTGAACACTTAATCTTTTTACACCAAACCATTCAGCAATTACCAAACAAACCCGTAATTTATTACAAAAATACTATGGTTATTCTGAGTTGTTTTTTTTTAGTTTTTGAAAATTTGGCTCCAAAATCAACGTTTCATCTCCCAAGACAGCGTGCATAAAATCCGGTCACTTCACCATTTCAAAACCCTAAACCACTTTCCATTTCCTCCTTTTTCAAATCAAACGGTAACAGTTTCTTCCATCCTTTTTCTTAATGGCGATTGCTCCCCAATCCACAACCCCTTTGTGTTCTAAGGTAATACCTCTCTCCATAACTTATAACATCATCATCATCCACCTATTTACAATCCATGGATTATTTCTGTTCAGGATCATACCATGTTTCTTTCCCTCATTTCCTTAACACTCGTGTCTGACTATAAACCAAACTTGTTTGCAGTGGAAACAGACAAAAGAGGTGAAGATTAAGAAAAGATTCTTACAGCAAAAATCTTCATTTCCTAAACAGGTGGTTAAGACTGTGAGATTCTTTTCTTTCTTATTTTCTGTCAGTCATTTTGGTGAACACCTTTCCTGCCTTATGTTTACTACACCTTTTGACCCTTTTTATGATCTGTTAGGTTTTTCATTTGGTGGATTAAAGCCTAATCTATAGTTTTTTGACGACCTTTCTTTGCAGGTGAATTATGATCTTGCTAGCAATTTAATAATAAGGTTAGTTCATATCTGTAGATGTTCCTCTACTTATGTTGGCTCATTAGGGCTGTTTACCAATACAAATTGGATAATCCGCCAAATTTCTGACTGAGCAACAACCGGTAAGAGTGGTTTGTGAACAGCAACACCTCTGACTGGGCAAGAGGTAAACAGCCCCTTAGTGACTATTTCTGACCATGTATTTGATCTTTGGGTGCAAACCATCAGCTATGACCCAAAGGTAGCTGCTTCAGCCCAACCTCCTGATTCTCAAGCCAAGTCTGCTGCTATCGAGCGAGCCACTGAGGTTCAAGCAAGCCTACCATCCGAGTTACCTAGTTTTGTTAAGCCAATGCTTCCATCACATGTTACAGGTGGCTTTTGGCTGGTAAGTTCATTACTATGTGATCAATATATAGTCGTTTTAAGCAATGGCTAGGTGATCTTATATGGGCTACATATGGCAGGGGTTTCCCAAGAAATTTTGTGATGTTCATCTGCCAAAGCATGATGAAATGGTTGTGCTGGTGGATGAAGATCAACAAGAATTCAACACAAAGTATCTTGTGGACAAAACTGGATTGAGCGGTGGCTGGAGAGGGTTCTCGATTGCTCACAAATTGCTTGAGGGAGATGCTCTAGTTTTCCAATTGATTGAACATTGGAAATTTAAGGTAAAAGTCAAAACAGATGAACAGATTTCGTTAGTATTTACTTATGAGATGCTAAAAGAAGGATTAGAATGTGAATTGTTCTATTAAAAATCTTTAGTTTATGTTTGGCACCCATAAGATAGCTTAACTTTTGAGCTTATTGAAAAAGCTCTTTTTGGTTAGCCATAAGTTGGCTGGTAAGAGGGCTTCTTGTCATAAAAGATAAAGTAGCTTTTTGAAGTTGCATTCCATAAAAGTTCAAATCTCTAGCATGACTAGCTTTTCAGCTAACAACATTGCCTTGTTCTGTTGAATTCTTTCTTTGGAGGTCTACATTGTTAGGGTAAATGGTCTAAATGAAATCGACGGGGCTCTTGGTCTTCTAAACTTAGTTCCTTGTGGCATGAATGTCTGTAAGTTCCTTTACTTGTTTCTTTTGATCTTTCACCATTTCCAACTTAATATTCAACATATGATGCCTAATTTTTCTTTTGATTTTCCCTCTTAAGGTCGAATAAAAAAGGACTCCAGGAATCCTCAGAGAGCTGAAGATATGGATATAGACTTGCATCAAAACGATATTCAAGAAAGAGGTTTGGTAACGTATGATCAATCAGGAGACGATGGTGAGTATATAGACTCGGAAGTTTCTGAAGGACTCAGATTCTCACAATCTGTTCTTGAGTTCAAGGATATAAAGGGTATTGACGATTTCAGCATCGTTATGGATGGTTTAATCATAGATTCTGAAATACCAAAGCATTTTCAAATCAAATACTATGATCTATGCTGTAGTCAGAAGACATATCTTCACGAAAACCTGCTCAAGGGTCTCAATGTTCAACTAGCGGTTGGAATAATTCTTGAAACTGTTACAATCGCTGATGCCATCAAAGCTTGTAAAGTGACCACCACTCGTGACAATTTTGAAACATGGGATAAAACTCTAAAGGCCTTCGAAGAGGTGGGTATGAGAGTTGGGTTCTTACAAGACCGGATCAGTAAACTTATAGGTTTATTGTTTGAATCAGAGGAGATCTTGGAGGCAAAGAGGAATGAACAAGTGAAAGCAGAAGATGAGATGAGAGTTATGAACCAAAAGCTTTGTGGGGTTAGAGAAGCAATCAAGAATCTTAATGTTGAGATCGAAAGTTTGGAGATGAAATGCCAGAAACTTAAGCCAGTCTTTCTTAAAGAAGCTAATGCACCTTGGTGACGGACATATTTGCATGGTACTCAATGATGCAGTTTTTGTGTAGAAACTTTTTTGTGGGAACGAAAACATTGATCTCGTTTGAGATGATTTTGTCATTGTGCGTGCGCAATGAAGGTTTCCAGTTTTGTGGATGGTTTGATGTGGTCGTTGGGTGACTGATGCCGATCATTGATGATCACGCGTCTATTAGGAATGTAGTATGAATTACACAAGTTGTATAATTGGGTTTTGTAATAGCAACTTGTCATCTGAACGTAGATTTGGCGCCCTATGCTATTGTAAGAAACTTTTGAGCCTTCTCGGGGCCTATACAATTCTACGATCGTCTTTCTGACATAATCTATATTTGTATTAGACAAAGTCTTAAAGACAAGTTCTAATGTATCATGCACTGCTAATTTAAATTTATGTATGAAGTCTCGAAATCTCTTAATTACAATGTTAAAAAGCATGACGTACAACTGATGGATGCCAAGCCCTTCATTTATACTTCCAAGAACTTTAACGCCTCACCCTCAGATCTTCTACTCCTTCCCATTGCGGTGATTCACAATCCTTCCTCTGATTTTTTTTTTATTAACCTGGATATTCAACCCGTTATGCGAGCTAACTAATTCCAAGGCAATCATTTGCTTTGCAGATAGTTTGGAGTCATCGCATTTGAAGCTCCATGGTCACAAGGGGATTTTTATTCCTACTTGGATTTGAACATGGGATCTACTGGTACTTTTGACCTAAGGAGCCAAGCTCAAACCAATCAGACACCACCCTTGTGATTACAATCTTTTTAAATTCATTTATAGGGTTTTATCTTTTATACAGATGAAAGATTCTCTTCTGATTACATTGCATACTTAGGGGTTGTCCAGTTCATTTTCTATTAAAATCTGTATAGATAAAGCTATCTGTATTGATAAAATTGTATGTATGATAACAAATAAATTATTGTCCAGTTGTTCTGCTGAATAAACAATTCAAGAACTGAATAATAATATTTCATTCATTTTTAAATTTGTTTCATGTTTCCTAACCAAAATGGAATTGGTCTCATGGTTTATAGCCAAGATGAAATTGGTTTCATTAATGAAACCAAATATGGTTCAGTCAATGAAACATTTCAAGACCTAAATACTATTATTTCATTAATGAAAGTAGTTTCATGGTTCCTAACCAAAATGAAATTAGTTTCATTTTTGAAACATTTTGATGTAGTATTTTTACAAATAGATTTTTTTGTTATTATGACAATGAAATAAATAACTTCATAACAAATAAATTATTACAAATAGACTTCGTAAATGATGTAATATTTTTAATTTAATAAAAGAATATTAAATATTAATGGTAATAATTATATATTAAAATTAATTGATTTACAATTTTCTTAAAAACAATTACTCTATTTAATCTTCCATATTTAAAAACAATTAAAATATTAGCAAGATTATCTCTAAAGAGAAAAACATGGAATTATTTTAGTGGTTGATGGTGGTTTCTATTGTTTGCATAAAATAGAAGGTTTATAAAGTAATCCATATATATATATATATATATATATATATATATATATAGGGTTGGGTTCACGTGAGACCAAGAGTTTTTCGTGAGACTCGTAAGACCAATTTATGTTCATTGATTAACTTTATAAGTTAATGATCTAATGGTCTAAATTGTACCGTGACAATTTTGTAATTATTGAGAAGTCTCATGGCGTTTATGAATGTTTGGATTGTCAGATTGTAGATCTAATTCAAGGGTTGAGAATTGGTCTTACGGGTCTCACGAAAAAATATTTGTCTCACATGATCCCAAGTATATATATATTAAAAAAGACTCAACAATTATATTAAATCCAATAAATAAAAGAATATTGGGTTTATTGGTTTGATTGAGTTCAAATAAAAGCAACCCAATAACTGCAGTTTAAAGATTTCAGTTTCACAACTCAGTTAGAAATCGGGTTACTTCAGGTTAAGTAATTTCACGTTAAGTTGGTTTGGGTTGATCGGGTTGGTCGTATTTTTGAACACCCCTATATGCACAACAATGTGTATGAAATAACTGACCGTCTAAAATAGGGCTCATACCTAATAATTATTTTGGCAGATATCGATTTTATTACTAGTGTTATCAAATGAAATACTAATATTTTAGAATATATTAATTATAAAATAAAATATTTTTTTAATAATTGCAAATAAACGATCATCCGAATGTAACACATCAATTGCTTCAAACGTGTTACTAATTGTCACAGCTGCTCAATCCAATATGCCGTTATGCATATATAAGAATGTGGTAAATTATGCGGCGCGCTCCAGATATCACACATTAAGGAAACACAACTAGGAGAAAAAGAAAATATTTGTTGCATTTTATTTTGACACGTTTTCCACAATTTTATTGCATCACGTCTAAGAGTTTGACGACTTACTGACTTATAGCATGGTTGTAGCGTTTATCGAATGAGGTTCCTTATATGAATGTTGTCAAAATGTTCGAACAACAACCCTACTTTAATGACACATTGTGTTGACTTCTCGAGGCTGAATTTCCTTCGGCCGTAAGGAGAGCTTGACATATTTAGCATTACGTCTTTCTTTTCCCGCTTACAAGAACCATGTTGTATGAATTCAAAATCTCGGACTTTCATTCGTGTTCAACAAAAACTTTGGCAATGGGATCGTTGACATCGGATGTATCATCATGAGAGGCTATTTTAAGTAAGAGTTGTTAAAAAAACGAGAGAAAGAGAACTCATGTATGAGTTGTTACAAAACCGAAATCAAATACGAGTCGAAATCACGAATTATAACGAAAGTTATGAACGTTTTTTTACTTCGGTGAGCTGGTATATTCCCCAATACACCATTGGATGTATATATATAGTGTAGAAGGGTTTAAAATGACAAGAAAACGGTAATATGACCATTCTCCAACGTTAAAAAACGGGTTTTTTTTTTTTTTTTAAATTAGGCTTGGGTGTAACCGATCCCAGTTCCATGCCGAGCCGAATTTGACCATCTCTAATCCAACCTATTCATGTACAAAACGGTGGGGGCATTTTAGTTGATTATTATAGCAATTAATGTCGACGTTTGGTTGACTTTTATAGAGATGTCAACGCCTAATAAGGGCAATAGTAAGGCATCCATATTTTAATGTGTTGTGGTTTATGAGTCAACTAGAAACGAAAATATAGTTGAAAGGGTCAATTAGTGGATGGCTTAATAATTAAGACCATCTCTAACGATGTTTTTACATCAAAATGGTATAATTTATACAAGTTTTAATACCAAATAAAATATTTAAAGTATATATTTATTGACTTTACAAAATTTTCATTTTAATATCACATAAATTCGTTAGTTTCAGTCGCTTTGTTAAAAAAACCACTTAATCTGTAATAAATCAAAATCTTAGGGTTAGTTTTGTTAATAAGAAATTCCGGGTAGATTTTTATTGTGAAAAGTCTAAAAGCCCATGGATTTTTATGTTTTGAAAGATTAAGTCATTGGACAATTTTTTTTGAGTAAAAGAATCATTGGACTTTCTAAAATATGTCAAATAGATTTTTTTGAGTAAAAGAATCATTGGACTTTCTAAAATATGTCAAATAGATCCTTGTTGCTTAGAAAAGTTACCTATATAACTTGTGTAACAGGTAAAAATCAAAATTAAAAAAGAGAATAAATGAATCCTAAATCCTAAATAAACTACACGATTAAACCGTAACTCAGGACAAATATTGTTCCTGCCACCCCCAAACGACTAACATCTTAGCCTCGTCTCCATCCCACCCATCCCATCACCATCATCGTACCACCCAGCCATGTCGGCGCGCCTCCCCAACCTACATCCCAAGTTCGATTACATTACAATAAACAAGGGCCAAATCATGTACGATACCTTAAAGAAAAAAAATGCTTGCTTGGGTGGCATTTTAACAAACAAGTTGTCTTTTGTGATTTGATTTAAACCGCATATACGTGTCTTCTGTTTTTTTTTCCTTTTTCTCAGTTCTTTTTGCCCCTAATCATGGATTCCAAATATATGTGTCTTATGTGATTTGTTAGTTTTCTAATCATAACCTTTCTAACGGGGCATTTTGTTGAAGTTGTAAAAGAATTGACACCATATGCAGAGCACATGCAATATGCAAGAGACATATTGGCTAAATTCCATAAAAAGTTTAATGATGTTAAGTATAGAAACATTTTTGGACAACAACTAGTCAACTACATCAATTATTGAAGCAGATTTATTGCCACATGGAAAAGATTAAAACATTAAACCTTTGAAGCATACAGTCACTTGGTTCAAAGAGACTAATACATGGTGTAGGGATTTTTTTTTCAACCAGGTAGGCTTGTGAAGCTGTAGAAAATGGGATATGTGGGTCATTTAATAATGCAGTCATTGTTGATGCAAGAAGAAAACCCATAATCAAAATGTTAGAGGAGATACAGATATTTGTTATGGAGAGGCATTATGGAATGTTAAGCAAAGCACATGAATGAGAATCAATTGTTTGTCCGACCATAAGAAAAAAAGTGAAAAAAATGGGGAGAAAATCACATGTATGTTTTATCTATGATGGTAATTTTATTATGTATGTTTCTCTATGAATGTAATTTGGTCGTGCATATTTTTTTTTCGTATGTAGATATTGGTATGTTATCCCTAGTGGTGAGAATGTGTTTGAACACGAAATGGTTATGAAGCAATGGCGGTGGACTTAGATGCTAGAAAATGCGGTTGTAGACTGTGGGACATAACATTCATTCTTTGTGTGCATTCCATAGTTGCCATACACTTTATCAATAAAGATCTAGGGGATTATGTTAGTAAATGGTTTACTGAGGATCTCTTCAAATGGCTTACGAGAATCATATAAGACCATTGAATGGGAGCAACATGTGGACTCCAACACCTTGCATCAAACCAAACCTACCTAAAGAGTGGTAGACCATCTATCAAAAGAAGGAGATCAGAATCTGAGACCAAGGTACAAGAGTGACTCAAGAAAGATTACAGGAAAGTTAGATGGTATCTCAATTAGAAATTAATGATGCAAGTGAAGAATAGATGCCACGACCTTAACATAAATTACATGTTACTTTGGTGTATTTTGGCGCAACTCTTGGTATATTTGGTGTAGCTTTTGGTATATTTGGCGCAACTGTTGGTATTTTTTGGCACAACTTTTGATGTATTTTAGTTCAACTTTGGATAGTTATCATTTATTCCTTAACTTATACATTAAAAAACTCCAGACCTTATAAAGTAAAGCATTGTAACGCACCATAATACGTTACAATGGAAATAAAGCCTTAGAGTGGAACCCCAAAGGTTAACATAGCGGCAAACTCAT